CCCAACGGCCGTCCACCTCCATGATAATTCCCACAAGATACCACAGTCACCAACTGTTAAAAAAGTACAAATCAATCAAAAAGATCATGCTAATATCCCTTGTAAGGAGGATATTATTGGAATTACTGTCTAGTTTGTAAGGTATTCCAAGTCAACGTGGGATAATTTGCATAACGGGCGAAGAGAATTATGCATAAATCATCCAATGTTTCTAAATAACTGTTGTTGATTTACCCAGCATACCCCTCAAAGTATAAAGTGATTCCTGATATTAACATTTCATTGTAAAATAACGTAAATTTTTGTGAATATGGACTTAAAAAATTTTTCTGATAGATTTAAAATACACGAGGCCTCCCATGCCACTTTCATTAGTCCACGCCAACTGACGTCAAACACAAAGATAGACGCACAAAGCAAGAAGTGGGGAGCTTAGCATAATAGGCCTTAACTCTTTACCTTTTGCCTTGCAAAATGTACATTCTGGTTGAAATATCAAGAAATTAATTTAACTTTTGAAGAGTTATAACAGAGGAAACAAATAAAACTGGAAATATATTTTTATAAGAATATACAAAATTCAACTTCAAGATATAAAAAGTAATTTTCCCACGTTGTATTACTTCGAGCCATATTCTTCTTCATGAAATTTGTCAACGTAGAGTGCATCTAAGGTACATGGTGGAAATGAAAACAATGCTCGTATTTTTCATTCGTGGATTGAACAGAATTCACGTTCCCGCAACATTATGAATCCGATGGTATTTATAGTATTTTTGGAAAAAAACTAACAAATGTTGGGCGATTTTCCTTCCTTGGATATTTCACTTTCTTATAAAACTACTTTAAATTTAAAATTGCAACACAGTTTAAAAAATTGATCGTCTAATAATCTATACTCTTTGCTAAATTAAAATAAATAGTCATTATCTTTTTTAGCTTAAAAAGTATTCTTACTTACCAAGAAATACACACATGCATGTAGGCTTTTCATAGTGAAAGTTTATACTTAATTAATCCTTCAAACAAAGTAGGTCTATAATAATAAAAAACAAATATAATTTATCATTTTTACGCATTTGAAGGAAAAATGCAAACATAAAAAGACAGTAATAAAAATGATAATCGACTGCGAAATTTATGAATTTATGATATTTTCTGGGCTAAGAACGAAATCAAATAAAGATTGAAGACATAAAAATAAAAGTACAAATTTGAAGAAAAAAATTAAAATATAAAAGGCATTCCGAAAATGCAACTGTGAGAATAGTTGTATGTTCACTTTAGCTAGTAAACGAAATTGCATACAAAAAGGAAGTTACATTGTATTTCTGTCAAACGTATTGAGTATTTATCATTGTTTCTCCATATTTTGAAATATTTGATTTTTAATTTTTTTTTCAAATAATTTATCATAAACAGAAGAATTTTTAAAACTATTATTTATCACATTTTTAGGACTATCTACTTTAATGTGGTCTATGGGGTCTGATGAAGTATGCGCCAATATTTCAAATACATTACGACACATCAATCGTAAAATAAACAGATTCAAGGCCCTTTTTATTTGAAATATATAAATATTTCATACATATTGAAAAGAAATGTTTATCTTCGAAACTTCAAATAATTTAGGATTTACAATTTCATTTTCATGAATGTCTTTTAAAGGTAAATTCTGTCATAGGATCGATTGATTGATTGATTATATGTTGTTGTTTTACGTTTCATTTAATGATTTTTCACTAACATAAGGACATAATCAAATAAAAATGAAGGACTTCAAATTGTGACCTTGAAGGTCTGGTCCAAAGATTCGAAACCTTCACTTGAAAGTGACGAGGGCTTAGCGTAGAAACAGTTGCTACTAATTTCTATCGACTTGGGTCAGTTGCGGTCGAAATTCGAACTCACGGCCTTCCGAGATATAATTTGTGAAGAATAGCTTTTCCAATTGATTGTCAAATTCCCTTAAATAATAATAGCACTTGTTCCTAACTGATCATTGAAACATTCCAAAGATGAAGAAAAAGAATTTCAGCAGGCTCATTTAAAGTCACAAAAGATACAATGACCTTGTCAGCAAATACAATTTATTATTGAATCAAATGCTGACTGACGTTTTTCATATTAATTGTTAGTCCATTAGTTATATTATTTAAACAATGAATTGATGGCGGATTTTCAAGTTATTTCACGATCATAACAAAAAGCACACGGTATGTGTGACTGTTCGGCAGGGGATGCTCACTCCTCCATGGCACATTATCCCATCTCTGATCTTTTGGAGGTCCGTGTTTACTGTGCTCCTATTTTGTATTGTTTTATTGAATTTTTATCTGGAATACTGATCGTTATTTCAATATGTTTCAGTAATCGGCGACGTTCTAGAATTAAGAATTAATTGAGAAAAATACAAAGTCTGACAGAACTGTGTCATATTTGGATATTATACTAGACTAAGATCTACGGAGTAACCAAAAAAGCCAATTTAAATATTGACGCAATGGCACCCATACCCTTATTCAGTTTGCAGCAAATGAGGTGTTTATATTTTTACATTAAGTTGAATCGATTATCAAACATATGTCTTTAGTATGGACAAATTCGTAAAAGAGGCAATCTGTTGAAAGCAAGATGATGAAATTGTGAGATCAATTTCTTGTTTAAAGTCGACGTTAGATTCATTTTTTTCTCAAAAATAAAAAAAACCTTTTATGCGAAGGTATAAATGGATAACGAATAGAACATAAATCAATTCATGTGACTTATTTAAACTTAGGGAAAAAATAAGGAACTTTTTTTGTTTTTTTTTGAATTAATTTTGATCGATAAAGCTGCATTGATCGATGATTGATCTCCTTAAAAATATTTAAGACTTCATAAACGTTCTTTATTTAAGTTTAAGATATTAATGTTAAGTTTGCTGTTTAAAAGTCTAATGTTAAAACTGGAGACTTTAAGTATTTCTGGTATTTCAATTTAAAATGAATCCATGCGGAAAAAAAGTTAGTCTTAAAACATAAAACTGAAATAAAGGCCCAGTCTTAAGTTTGTCCTTTGACTGGTTTGTGAATATTTTGTTTAGAAGTAATGCTTTCCTTGTAAAATATGTAAGCTAGGGTAGTTTTAATGAAAGAGGTCAGTATGTGAATCATTGGTATAAATTATTTAATCGATTAATTACAAAGGCGCCGTAAGGCGGAACATCCACTTGCAAAAAGCATACAGATATATTTATAAATCAAAGAAGCATTCGACAACAATCCCGGTGCACATTATGTTACGTCCTTTCCGCACAGAACTCCGTTAGGAGGGACTAATTATGGGAAGACTCCGTCGTCCTCTTGTTTAAGTGTTGTGGAATTCCAGCTAAATTTATGATTTTTTTTACATTGATAATCATGGTTTAACTCTTTAACTATGATTAAAGCATACTGTAGTTCTTTTTATTTTATTTTTGATCTATGAAAAATAAGAAACAAATGAAACAAATAAGCACCTTACCTAAAATGCCAGTTTGTTTTTATTTTTAACGAGCGGACCTTCTCTTGTCTTTCTAGCAGATTGGGAGAATGCATCCTAAGATGCTATTCTAAGCTTACAAGGAAAAGATGCATTAAGATTAAACCTAGGTATTTATTTTGAGTTTATAAATAACTGGTTTCTATAGGTATGACACTATAAGACTTGAGATTCCGTTGCTCTTTCGGATACAATAAATCATGAAAATAAAGATCCTATATATTTCCAGATGATAAAGCAAAACTGACATAGTATGGTTTATCTACAAATTTAAGTATTCCTACTACTTTGATGTCATGCAGTTTTAAATGCTGAGGTAGTTCACATTACTCAAAATCGTTTGACATGTTGTCAATAAAATGTGTTCAAAACAAACTCGAAAGGAGAAGCAGAACATTCTCCATTGGCTTCCATGCAAAGAATGGACGCCTTTCAATGATTCATATATTGACTTTTAGCAAATGACTTTCTTTCCGTGAAAGTTCGAGATCTTGAAAACGAAACATTTACTAAATATCTCACAGAAGTCTACGTTTTGATTTTTTTTATTACCTTGTTTTCTTGTGAAATATATAAGAGTTTTTTTTTTCAGAAACAGCAAATCATGCACAATGTAGAATTTTCTTTGCACTAATTTAAGTGTCCAAAGTGTCTTCGCCCATACATATGCTGCGCCCATGTTTATGCGTATTTAGGTGCTTTTGGGAATTAGTCTATAATTCCACTTTGTTTATTGACCAAGTACCAAGAGTTCGTTTGTAAATAATGTATAATTTTACAGACAGTTCTTTTCAAAATAAATGTTGTCTATGTTATAAATAAGTGCAATAGGGTTATGATAATTTTTCTTTTACAATATATATTTTTAAACTATTTAATAAATTTTAATAAATCTAATAATGATTGCCGAAAAGGGTAAAATGGAGCAAATTCTACTTAGATTTTTGTCCTCGAGCACAATTTACTGAGACAAATCTCAGAGAAATATAATATCATATAATACAGTTTATGTTTTCATCGGTGTAGAATTCTAGATTTTGACATATACTAGCAGGTGCATTTGGTAAACGGACCTCAAGATAAAGTTACAGATAAGAAAGTATGCAGAAGTACTTAAGAACGGTGTTGTGCTTAATTTGACACCAATTGAACAAGTACTTAAGAACGGTGTTGTGCTTAATTTGACACCAACGGTGTTGTGCTTTCCATTTAAATTTTTGTCCTCAAGCACCATTAACTGAGTAAAAGGTCAGAGAAATATAATATCGTATAATACAGTTTATGTTTTCATCGGTGTAGAATTCTAGATTTTGACATATACTAGTAGGTGCATTTGGTAAACGGACCTCAATACAAGATAAAGTAACAGATAAGAAAGTATGAAAAAGTACTTAAGAACGGTGTAATGCTTAATATGATAACAGTTTTAAGTAACATGAAATCCATTCTTCTGTCTTTGTTATGGTTCTTTGTTTTTCGTGATGGCTGTACAGGACAGTGCTTCGTTGGTCAACAGTTAACACCACCACCGCCAGGGTCGACAGGTAAGAGCAGGTAGACACTAATTTATGTCTTATATTACAATTATCATGGATTTTTCCCCTTTTTTCAACGTTTATGTCGCTGTTTTATATACTACAGCTGTATATACCAAACTGGCCTATCGGAAGCAATTGCAGTTTGGGGAGGGGACACAGCTTAATATTTTTAGGTCTTCAGATTTTTTTCTTCACGGGCACATGCATATAATATGTAAGTTTCCTATAGTATACAATATATCGGCAAAATTATTTGGATCCCACCTTCCCTCCCCCAGATTTCTACGGAAATGCCAGACAAAATTGAGGGAGAGAGAGAGAAAAAAAATAAATGCTGTGGTACGTCCTTAATGAGAATTTTGGTTTCAATATGAAATTTTACCCTCAGTCCATTATTGCATTCACTGACCATTGAGCAGCAAAACTTTCCTTACCTTGCATGAGATCATATTTCATCCTTGATATAGTAAACATGACGTTTTCCCTTATATTGCTCGATAAATGAAATACATGTTCTTAAGTTCCTTTGGTTCTTTTGTACTTTTTCTATTAATTTTGTCAAACAATGACAGTGATTCGCATAAAATCATAGACATATTCAATTTAAAATTGCGATTTTGCTTGTTGATTGCAACACTTGATTCATGTGGGATTCAATACTGATTTATCAGTGTTGCCTATCTTTGTATGTACATGTATAATTAGTTTATAGCCTGCATTAAAAGAGCAAGATCTATCTTATGCATAAAATTACACTGTACTAATATTAATTAATCAACTATCACCCTCTTTCCCATTTCATAAATCAAAATAAAGAAGATACTTGGTGTTTTCATTTTTCTATATTTTCTATAAAATTTCGTTTAGAGAATCCACATATTGGAAAACAGGCTTTGAGAAATTGCAATGTTCTTGAAATTTGCAGAAACATGCGTATTTCACTACCTTCAGCAAAGAATTAAAATATGAGTTAATCTTCAGAAACAGCTTTCATTATGTATTTGCACATTTTGGATCAGAGGTTGTACTCTATATGAAATTTGAAAAAAAAATGCTTCAACTTAAGGTCATTTTCAAAGGAATTTACAGGATATGAGGAAAATGACGCATTTTATGACGTCATAATGCATTGACTAGATGTGAAATTACGTCACGATTAATAGATACATGGTCACCTACATTCCAAGTGATAAATACTGCATTTGCAACATAAACCAAGCGGTTTTTATTTTTCAGAATTTCTCAGGACCAAATAAGGCCCAAAGTGGCTCTTGCTCTTTAATATTTTGAATTGTTTCTTATTTTAGATCCGCCTCCCACAAACTGTAACTATTCTGGGGTGTCTTTAAGGCCAGGAGAAGCATACACAGATATGACCAAGTGTATAAGGTGCCATTGCGGAGCGGATTTTGGTCTTTATTGCTGCTCGTAAGACTTTTTTCGGTATTCGTTTTAGTTTTTTTTAATCTATTTTATGAAATTACACCACCCTACACTAACGAACAAAATTCAAGGTCAAAAGTTCAATAAATCAAAATAAATCAGGAGGAACAAACAGAACTCTAAAGCAATGGATGAGTGAGCATTCCCTGCCAAAAAGTCACAGCAGCCATGTGCACCTAGTCAAGATTAGGAAATAACTCCGTTTATAAGCCAATGTGTAAATGATGGTGTCGGCGGTCTCGTTTGGGGTCATCATTTCGTAAGTTCTATGGTCGATACAATGACATACAATTTATCATTGAGTCTAATGCTGACTGATGTTTTTCATACTAGTAATTTGACCATTATTAATACACCGAATTGAGGACGGATTTTCCTGCTGTTTCCTGATCGTGACTGGGGGCTGACGGTGGGTGTGGCCGTTCGGCAGGGGATGCTCACTCCTCCCTGTCACATGATACCATCTCTGATGTTGTGGAGGTCCGTGCTTGCTCTGCTTCTATTTGGTATTGTTTTATGGACTTTGATATTGAATACTGTTCGTTGTCTCCATATCCATCATGGTCTTACAACTAGCATGAAAAAAATCAGTTGTTTGACTTAGGGCCGGTACACACGGTACGGCTTGCCTTATAAGTCTAAAACCTTACGCTTTGCAGGACGTACCGCTCCCGTCTACACACACTAAGGCTAGACTGACAATATCATAAACAACATTTACATATATTCCATGTGTTTTTGATCCATAAACAATGCACATTATGAAACGGAATAATAAAATACTAACTAAGACTTTGATATAGTTTTACTGACCAGTGCATCAACACTTCTTCATAAGGAAGAGGAGGTTATCTGAAGTATTTGTAGATAGTATCACTATCTTACTCGAATATATACTTTGTGTTTTCTTCAATGTACCAACGTGTATGGTTTTATAAAAATAGATTGAACTTTGGGTAAATGTTTTTATTGGTCAAGAACTAAATGTCAGCTAAGTCTTGTATTAGGAAAAAGAGCCGTGTTCTATTCTAAATTCAGACTTGTAAGGCTCCACAAAACGTGTATTTAGGGTGTACACACGGTAAGGCTAGAACTTAAGTTTCAAGCCTTACCGCGTGTACCGGCCTTTAATGATACTAGATTTTGTTTGCTCCCAAGAACATCGAACATTCAAAGAACTTAAGAAGTGTTGATTTAAACAAAACTGTTGATAATTTTGTCTCATCATAATTGATATGTTATGGAAGTAATCGTCATATTTGTTAACTTCATTCTTTATAGTGTAATATCCATCTGTTAAGAGAGATAACTCTCTGAAGACATTTTCCCTTGAAATTCAATGATTTATCTTGTCAGATAGTAGAGAATTCTTTTTAATGAAGACCACTTTACAGTCAAATCAAACAAATCTTATCTATTGCACAGATGTTTAATTCCAGTTTCTGTAAAAAAAAAATCCTTTTTATTGTTTTAGAAATTTCAGATGCAGAATTGTTAAGAAATATATGCATTTAATCAATATTTTGTTTCACTAAAATATTTTAAAGAACGATAATAAAAGATTTCTCTTTTTGATGGATGCATATTATTTAGAAGCACGGAAAACTGTTTGATACTCATACCTCATACTAATAATTTTGTTGTTTAAAATTATGTATTATAAAAAAAATAATTGATATGTATGTTAACCATATCAACATTTCTTCCCATCATGATAAGACATAATATTTATTTCTGAAAGAGTAAGCAACGCTTCATACTTTAAACTTTTTTTACTTTGAATCTAATGCAATTGTTGTTGATGAAAATCAATGTTTGGATTTTTTTTCATTTAAAAAATTCGTGAAATTTGAAGCAGAGGGATTTTCACCTTAATACAGGACCAACCACGGAGAAGGATAAAAAATAACCTGAAAATATAAATTAATAACAAGCAGGATTTTTTATTTTCGTGTGTTAAAGTATTATTCTTTTTTGTTTTAGCATGCTTATGAACTACAGTTTACCCGAGGGATGCGTTGTTATTGAAAAGAACTGTACGCAGAGGATCGTTCATAAATCCGATGGATCCCCGTGTCAATATCTCGCATCCTTTTCAAGGAAGTAATGAAACACTATTAAAAGAAAAAAAAAGCAATACCTTTCAATACCTTTAATTAAATACTTCAATAAAATGTATATACATCTGTATACACTGATTTATTATTACTAGCTTCTGTTTTAGTGTCCAGCAAAAATAGAAAAGTGTAAATCTTGTTTATCAATAAAAAATGAAGTATGACAATGCTTTTTCTTTGAATGAAATTAAATGTTATTATTTTTCTAATTGGATTGAATGAAAAGGTAAGTTTTTATACACCCTAAATGTTTTCATATCGTAAACCTTCATACGACAACCTTACTTTTTTCAGGGTTAGGGTCAAAATTACATGGAATCACATTTCTCCTTTTAATCTTTAATAAGGATTTCAAAGATTTTCAATATATTTCTGAAATATATTTTTGTACGCTGAGGAAAATCACCGGAATATTGTGACTGCGTACAAACTATCTAACTACCGATTTATACTCCTAAAATGAGAACTCAAAATTTTAATATTTTGTTATTTTGACTGAACAAAAAAAAAGGCAGAATAAAAACTTACATGATTAATTATTGCTTGAATTACGTAAACATTACTGAACAGAAAACACATGCAAAAACCTCCCTACCGTCATTTTTCTCTTTGTGAGAAACCTTCTCATGCATGTAAATACATGTAAAAATAAAGTAAAACTAAATTAAGAAAAAAAAAAGAAAAAGAAAAGTATATTTTTTTTAAGTATGCAGCTACATGTGTACTGGTTAGAATGGGCATCTTCCCCGCCAATAGAAAAATACTCCACTAAAAGAGAGAGAAAATTTTCAACGATAAGTTACAATGAATGCAAAAATGACAATACTTAGCAATGAGTAAAAAAGTTACTGCTTTTATATATGGCATATAGTTGAATAATTATAAGCTTATATAAAATTTCATATGTTGTATTAAAAGAATCATGGTTCAGTGCAATGAAATCACAGAGAAAAGGTTAAATACATGTATTTGCCAATATTGCTTCAAAAAACATATCAAGGGACTCCGACCCTCAGCCAGGAAGGACAACTCTTTAATTTATAATTTAATTCAAAAAGTCCTTAAATGAAGTTAAAAAATTAAATATTTTCATGCAACAATTTTCATTCATCATTATCCTGGCTGAAGATCGGAGTCCCTTAATCTTCAAAAGATATATATTCATTACAAAATTAATCATAAACATTTATCAGGGGATTAAAAATTTGATTAAATGTAAGCCTGAATCATCATCCGGAGTGCACGCAAAGAGAAGTCCATAAAATTCAGACAATTTCAATTTTGATCCCAGTCTAAAATTTAGGTTCATATGGTTGAATAATTAGACTGAGATCAAAAGTGAGCTCGTCTATGTTTGAGTCTATGCATTATGACCCACCCATCCCGGGGTCGAATTTTGATTTATCTTACCTGCAGCGTGCAGTACAGCTGTTACTCTAGGTCCTACCATTAAATCCACAGACCGGGTCGTATATAAACGGACAGGCACAGTTCCCTGGGTTCCTTGGGTTTCTACACGGACACTCCCCCATACACTGTACGGAAACACCTCTACAGAAAAAGATAAAAGAGTTCTTAAACAACAGATTTGTTGGGGGTGTCAATTGAATGATTTACGATTTATGTATACCTTTATCTTGGAAAAATATTAATAAATGAAAATTTTATTAATATCTACAGGTAATATATGATCTTCTGAACTCAATAGAAAATCATGCATCTAAAGAAAAAGTACTGTCTGTTTTAAATACTTCAGGACCGTAAAGTTTGCATATTTCATGGCCAAATTGTTTAACATTTGCTAAATATTTCACTGAATATGGATAAAAAAGAAAAAAATAGGGAGCTCAAAAGTCCATTGAAATAATACAATGTAGGAGCAGAGCAAACATGAATCTCTTTAAAATACAGAGGCGAGGTCAGATGCCATAGAGGATTAGACATCTCTGTTATGTTTATCACTCTGTTCATAGGGTTCGTTCAACACACACAACATTAAGTTACTGACTATATGATTTATTCAGTCTATTCAGGGAAGTATGCGTTAGATCTAAATGATGAACCCAATATGATACAAACTCCAGATTTCCGGTATAATGGACATAACAATCTCCTTCTCGACCAGTCTTACCTACTGTATTCTACTTCTCATGTCCTTATTTTCCTGACAAAATTCACAAAAAAATGAAATAATTGAATATGATACAACGAAAACGACCTACATTACATTTAAAGTCTTTGTATACTACACTTAATAAAATCATGACTGTCGATTGTTAGACAAATAAAGGAAATACAATGTATCAAGAAAACAAAAATGAAACGTGAAATATCTTCACAACCCAAAAAAGCATGCAAATCACTAAAACAGACTTTTAAAAATAAAATAAAAACACAATAACAAGAATACTCAGTTTGAATTGTTTAACGGGGGGAAATGCTTTTAAACGATAGGAGGCGAAAGACAACTCTTACAAGTATCTAATGGGGAAATATAAGAGGCACGTAGCATCATTTTTGAAAGAAGGCATGCCATCCAGAGAAATTTTTTTTGTACTTACCTATAGAAGCTGACAAGTAAAAAAAATAAGGAACATTGACAAACTCAAAAATTCTATGTCGTGGGGGGGGGGGGGAGGGGGGTAGTGGCCAAGTTTTTACAAGCCCAACTTCCTTTCACTTCCAATATCTTTGTATAAAATACTTCATTTTCTTCATATAACGATACTTTGGTAAAATGGGGGGGGGAACCAGCCTTTCAGTAGACATTTTCAATAGTAAAGGTAATGTTGGGAAAAAAATGGGGGGAGCCCCCCCCCATCCAGTGCCACCCCCCCCCCCGTTGCTACGTGCCTGTATAAACAGAATATGTTGCAAATTTTAGGATATGTGTTATTAAATACGTACATCATAGTATGTAACGGTCTTTAAAATTGAATTTACTATTAAATGATCAATCTAAGGATTTGTAGATTTGATTTGTATGTGTAGATCGTAGTTACGTACACACACCCTGTATATTGGGAGTTAGAATATGTCCTGCCGTTTATCCAACAGACGGGGTTGTAGACTTGTATGCAAGCACAATCTATAAAGAGCAAATATACCTGACGAAAAAATATCACAAATATCTCCCACAATGCAATTCCTCCTTGGATCTTATCGAACTATCAATACTGAGTAAATCTAATTTTGAAAATCTTACAAAACAATTTATTGTCATTATATTTCGATCTTTTTAAAGACAACAAAAGTATTAACATTAAATAAATTAATGAAATAGTAATAAAAACTGTACATAAAGATTAACAAAGTATAGACACGTAATGGTTAATAATCTTTTAAGATGAATTGGCTACATCTATATTAATTTCTACAATTTGCTGGCAGCTTATATTAATTATATGAGAGTTTACTTTAAGCGTGTTTTAATGTATTAGACTTTTACTTCTTACTGTTTGACTGCGAATTCACCATCGTCGAAGCCACCAAAAGTATAAGAATATAAAGTCCCATCTTCCTTTTTTCTGGAAAAAAGCACAGGTATTATAAATATGATTATAAAGTATTGCCAAGTTATAAATATTGTGATTAAAAATTGTACAGTCTGCTGGGAAAAGACATTTTTTGGCTAAATATATTTAAAAATTTCTGCATGCAAATTTCTAAGGCTTTCTGTTTTTTTCAATGGTTAGGTTCTTAAATGATCCTTTTTTTAGCTATTCAATCTATATTGTTATTTTGCTGTATAATAGCTTTAGGTCATAGGATCGATTGATTGTTTGATTATATGTGGGTTTTTCTACGTTTCATTTGATGATTTTTCACTAACATAAGGACATAATCAAATAAAAATGAAGTACTTCAAATGGTGACCTTGAAGGTCTCGTCCAAAGATTCGAAACCTTCACTTGAAAGTGACGAGGGCTTTGCGTAGAAACAGTTGCTACTAATTTCTACCTACTTAGGTCAGTTGCGGTCGGGATTCGAACTCACGGCCTTCCGAGGTATAATTTGTGAAGAATAGCTTTTCCAATTAATTGTGTAATTCCCTAAAATAATAATAGCACTCGTTCCTAGCTAATCATCGAAACATTCCAAAGATAAAGAAAAAGAATTTCAGCAGGCTCACAAAAGATACAATGACCTTGTCAGCAAATACAATTTATCATTGAGTCAAATGCTGATTGACGTTTTTCATATTAATTTTTAGTCCATTATTTATATCATTTATACAATGAATTGATGACGGATTTTCAAGTTATTTCTCAATCATGACAAAAAGCACAAGGTGAGTGTGACTGGTCGGCAGGGGATGCTCACTCCTCCATGGCACCTGATCCTACCCCTGATCGTTTGGAGGTCCGTGTTTACTGTGCTCCTATTTTGTATTGTTTTATGGACTTTTTATCTGGAATACTGTTCGTTATCTCCATATGTTTCATTAATCGGCGACGTTCTAGAATTAAGAATTAATCGAGAAAAATACAAAGTATGACACAACTGTGTTCATATTTGGATATTATACTAGACTAAGACCTACGAAGTAACCAAAAAAGTCAATTTGAATTTCAGCGCAATGGCACCTATGTCCTTATTCAGTTTGCAGTAAATAAGGTGATTATACTTTTACATTAATTTGAATTCGATTATCAAACATATGTCTTTAGTATGGACAAGTTCGTAAAAGAGGCAATCTATTGAAAGCAAGATGATGATATTGGGAGGTCAATTTCTTGTTTAAAGTTGACATTTCGCAAATTCGATTGTGGTAACAATATTTTTTAAGACAATTTAATATAACACACATATTTCAAGCCAATTCAATATCCAGTTAGATATCCAGGTATATTTTCGTTTAAGGAACATCGTGTGTGAAAGTCGACAGGAAATGTTAACTATTGCACACTTCATCAAAACTATTATGTTTTTTGTAGTCTGCTTTTGCTCTACTCCACGTTTATTTCGTTTCAATTGAACTGGCTCATTAATTGCGCGTTAGATTCATTTTTTTTTTCAAAAATAAAAAAAACCTTTTATGCGAAGGTATAAATGGATAACGAATAAAACATAAATCAATTTTAATCAAATTCATGTGATGTGACCTATTTAAACTTAGGGAAAAAAATAAGGAACTATTTTGGTTTTTATTATTATTATTAATTCTGATCGATAAAGCTGCATTGATCGATGATTGATCTCCTTAAGAATCTTTAGGACTTCTTAAACGTTCTTGATGTTAAGTTTAAGATATTAATGTTAAGTTTGTTGTTTAAAAGTCTAATGTTTACACTGAAGACCTTAAGTATTTTTGGTACTTCAATTTAAAATGAGTCCATGCGGGAAAAAACGTAAGTCTTAAAAACTTAAACTGAAATAAAGGCACCAGGCTTAAGTTTCTTCTTTGGCCGGTTTGTGACCCTTTTGCCTAGAAGTAATGCTGACAATCTTTCTTTGTAAAATATAGAAGCTAGCGCTGAAGTTTTAATTAAAGAGATCAGTATGTGAATCATTGGTATAAATTATTTAATCGATTAATTACAAAGGCAGCGCAAGCGGGACATCAACTTGTAAAAGCCATATCTATAAATCAAAGAATCATTCGACAATGATCCCGATGCTTATCACGTCACTTCCTTTTCGCACAAATCTCCGGTAGACTCAGTCGCCCTCTAGGAAGACTCAGTCGTCCTCTTGTTTAGTTTATGTGGGTTTTTTTTTTACATTGATAATCATAGTTTTACTCTTTAACTGTGATTTAAGCATACTGTAGTTAATCTTTATTTTATTTTTGATCTATGAAAAATAAAATAAAAAACAAATGACACAAATTACCACCTAGCTTAAAATGCCAGTATGCTTTTTTTCTAACAAGCGCACCCTCTCTGGTCTTTTTGGCAGGCTGGGAGAAGTCATCCTAAGATGCTATTTAAAGCTTACCGGAAAAATCCATTAAGGTTCTCAGACAAGAAAATCTAGGTAATTATTATACTCTTAGGAATAAATAATCTCTACAGTTATGACATTATAAGACTTGAGATACTGTTTCTCTTTCGGATACAATAAAACATGAAAATAAAGATCCTATATATTTCCAGATGATAAAACAAAACTGACATAGTATGGTTTATCTTAAAATTTCCTAGAACGCCTACTACTTTGATGTCAAGCAGTTTAAAATGGTGAGTTAGTTCACAGTACTCAAAAGGAATAGCAGGACAAACTTCTACAGACGTTCGATCTCCATTGACTTCCATACAAAGTACAGCCACTTTCAATGATTTATGTATTGACATGAAACAAATTACTTTTTTCCGTGAATTTTAAGATCTTGCAAGCAAAACATACAATTAATAGATATATCACAGAAGTACCTTTTGATCTTTTATTTACCTTGTTTACTTGTGAAATATGTGAAAGAATATGTTCCAGAAATAACAAATCATGCAAAATGTAGCATTTTCTTTGCACAACTTTTGGTGTCCAAAGTGTCTGCACCCATGCATATGCTGCGCCCATGTGTATGCGTATTTAGCTGCTGCTATAATCTA